TGAAGGTGCTGCAGGTAGGGACTTCCTGACCGGATGGGGGGTGAAGGGGGCACCCCTGGGCTTGAGACCATCAGCGAGCGCTGAGGCCGAAGAAAGGGGTAGGCAAGCCTGAAGCAAGTTCTGAACATGCATGTTGGCAGCTGGGGTCTGCAGATTGCTTCACCATGAGGGCCAGCTGAACCCTGCTGCTGTGCATGTGCTAACCTTTCGTGCTCTATCAAAGGCCTGAATCACGGCTCACCATGGCCTCGGCTTCATCCTCGTCGACTTCAATCTTGGCTAAATGCTCTGTCCTGCCCTTTGTCAAACCAAAGATCACCGTGGCAGGGGCCCTGCACAGCCTGGACGACAAGGCAACCAGGCTGGCGGCGCTGCAGGACGACCTGGCCGGCCAGGGCAAGGAGCTTGCATCGGCCAAGGTGATGAGGAACTGCGAGCGCTCTTTTCACCGATCATCAAGAGCCCATCTTGCAAGCACCGTAAAGCCATCCACCTGGAAACTATGTGTGACTCGTGCCCTGGCCCTTTCCTGTGCCACATGTGAGCTCGTGCCTACAGGATCTTCGACCCGCAATCGTGACAGTTCCTGCCGCCTTACCCCATGTCAACGGCAGGAGGTGCAGGAGAGGAAGGACGAGCAGCACCTGGCGCTGGCTGCTGAGCTGGACAAGCTGCAGCTGGAGTATCAGAAGTGCAGCCGCAAGGTGCGAGCGCGCCCGCTTGCAGGGCCGTCCGTGGGCTGCGCAGTCCAGCAGTTGCACTCGCGTGTGAGGTGTGCAGCGCCAGCTTAGCACGATCCTCTGCAACAGGTAGATCTCCATCCGGTCGCATGGCACACAGCTTGTGCACCCTGCATCCCCACCTGCCATGCTTGTCCCACCAATCCAACCCCATGGCGCTGGCTCAGTCGGAGCGGTATGGGACTGAAATTGCAATGCTGCGGAAGCAGGTGGCGGCCAAGGAGGTGAGCCTGCACCAGAGGTCGCCAGCCAGCATTGCAATTTTGTTGCTGGATGGCCGGCAGCCAACCCCCGCTTGCCACATATGGCACTCAACTCTCTTCGCCGCGTTGTGGCGCACCTCATGCAAGGGAGGGACAGTTGGGCACCGGAGGTCTGCCTGGTCCATTCAGGACTTGACCTTTACAGGGGGTGGATAGCTCTATCAAGCACCAGCTCCCTCTCCCGGGCAGTTTGGGGCTTGCTCTCACGCGCTCTGCTCGCCACAAGTGAGCGGTTTCCGACAACTTGATCTTGGGTGTGCCGCCCCACCCTGTTCACGGCATTCCAGGACGAGCTGCTGGAGATGTCGGCCGCACGCGGCGCTGAGGTGGCGGCCTTGAAGGTGAGGCGCTGGCCGCGGCAACGGGCACATTGTTGCTATGCGGTGGTGGAGACATGCGCATGAGGGCCCTGCAGTGCCGGGGGTCGTCCAGGGTGGTCCAGTTCCAGCCGCTCTTGGTTTGCGTGCTCGCTTGGTCGACCCCCTCACGTGGGACAACAGCTCCTTCCCCACTTCTCAGGCAAAACCCTGGGAAACACACCGCTCTGACTCTGTTCTGCCCGCCCTGCTAACCCCAGGACGTCGTCGCCCTGGGCGAGGTGCAGTTCAAGGACAAGGCCGCCGAGGCAGTGGCGCTGAACGGGAGGGTGGCCGCCGCAGAGGTGCGTGGATGGGGAGGACGGGATGCAACAAGGGCGCTGGTAAGACGATCACATCTATAAATCCTGTCTATGTGTGGGTCAACGAATGACTTTGTGACGGCTGCTTGATTCTATCCTGCTCCCAAGGAGGCTGGTACAGAGTTCAGCGAGATCCGCGCCCTGGGCATGTGCACAGTTGTAACGTTGGGGCTGGCTGCACATTCCAGCCACTTTCACCACCAGAGTCACACTCACGACCCCCTGGCCTGCGGGGGTGCGTTCCTTGCACAACAGGAGGAGCTGCAGGCCGCCAAGTCCAGGGCAGAGTCACTGGAGCGCGTCGTGGAGCGCCTGCAGGTTTGTGCCGTTGCTGGGGTGAGGTGTGCTGCTTTCCGTGGTGGCGCGCAGCTTCTTGGCCAGGCTCGCCTGCGCTTGCATTGATCAAGGCAACCTGGTTGCAAGGAAGGGCGGTTCTGCAGCTGCAGCTGAGTGCCATCATACGTCCTGCCAGTTGACCGTTTCACCTGCCGTCCACCCATCCTCAACCCATCGCAGGAGTAGCGCGCGCGGCTGGAAGACGAGCTGGCGCGGGCGCGCTCTGTGGCGGTGGCGGCCGTGCCCAAGGTGATTCAGGATTGCGGGAACTCTTGTCACGCACCATTATGAGCCCACCATCAAGAAATCACCCTGCAAGAACCACACAGCGCTTCACGTCCAAACGATGTCTGACTCCCAATCTTGCCCTTTGCTGGGCCATGCTCACGTAAGCTCATGCCTGCACAGGAGCGTTGCCCGCCATTGCTTCTTGACAGTCGCGGCCACCTTCCCCCATGTCATCGCCAGGAGGTGCAGGAGAAGGACGAGCAGTACCTGGCGGTGGCTGCCAAGCTGGACAAGCTCCAGCAGGAGTATGAGCAGTGCCGGCTCCAGGTGCGAGCGCGCCCGCTTTCAGGGCGGTTCCTGGGCTGCGCAGCCCAACATTTGCGCTCACGTGTGAGGTGTGCCGCACTAGCTGATCATGATCTTTTGCAAAATGGGTAGGTCTCTATTTTCACATGAAATGCAACTTGTGTCCCCTCCGTCCCCACCTGCCGTGCTCGTCTCTACATTGTCAACCTCTGTTTTGCTGGCTCAGGCGGAGAGCTACAGGCTTGATGTCGCGGCGATGCAGCAGCAGGTGGCGGCGAAGGAGGTGGGCTCGCCCCAGAGGTCGCCAGAAAGCATGGGAGTTGTGTTGCTTGATGGCCAGCAGCCGACCCCTGCTTGCCACAGACGGCACTGATTTTTTTTGGCCACGTTGTGAATCCCTCATGCCAACGAGGCATAGTATGGCACCAAGGATCTGCCTGGCCCATCCAGGATTTGACCCTTAGAGGGACGGATAGCTCCATCAAGCATCAGCCTCTCTCACGCAATTTGAGGCTTGATCCCACGCGCTCTGCTCGCCACAAGTGTTAGCTTTGCAACAACATGATCATGGGTGTGCCGCCCCACCACATTGCAGGACGAGCTGCTGGAGATGGCGACTGCACGCGACACTGCGGTGGCAGCTCTTCAGGTGAGGCGCTGGCTGCGGCAGCGGGCACGTTGTTGCTGTGCGTATGGGGGTGGGCATGAGGGTCCTGCGATGCCCGCGGTCATCCGGGTCGGCCCACCTTCAGCCACGCTGGGTGGCCAGGCCTAGCCTCCTGGGTTGCCCCTCTCACGTTGCACTACAGCTCATCCCCCACCTCTCAGGCAGATCCGTGGAATCACACCGCTCTTTTCTGCCTGCCATGCTGCCCGCAGGACGCCGTCGCCCTGGGGGAGGCGAAGTGCTGCGACAATGACGGCGGTGTGCTGGTAAGACAACCACGTCTGGAATCCTGTATGTGTGTGGATCATAGATTGATTGTGTGATGGCTGCTTGAATCTACGCGGCTCCCAAGGGGCTTGACGCAGTAGCTGCGGCGGAGTTTGGCAACATCTGCGCCCTGGGCATGTGCACAGTTGTCGTGTTGGGGCTGGCTGCACATTCTAGTCACTCTCACCACCAGAAAGACACTCACACCCCCCTGGCTTGCGGGGGTGCGTTTGTTGCACAACAGGAGGAGCTGCAGGCCGTCAAGGCCACTGCCGGCTCGCTGCAGCGCACCGTCGAGCGCATGCAGGTGCGTGTCTGGGCGGGAGTGAGGTGTGCCGTTCCCTGCGGTGGCCCACTCTAATGCCTGCCTAGGCTCGCCTGCGCTTGCAAGCGTTTGTGATCTGTCATCTGGTTGCAAGCAAGACGCTGTACTGCAGCTGCATCTCCTTGCCATCGTTCGTCATGCAAGTGCACCGTTCCCACCCCTGCCTGTCGTTCACCCACCCCCACCCCATTGCAGGAGTTGCACACACAGGTGGCGGACGAGCTCGCGGACGCCCGCTCGGCGGCGGCGGTGGCCAAGGTGCGCACGGTATTGTTGTGTGGTTGTCAACTCTGGTCACATTTGCCTTGCGTGCTGCCGAATGTGTTGCGCCTTATAATCGGCTGGCACGACATGCACAGCCTTCCAGGATTGCTAGTTGTGAAAGGCTTGCGCAGCGCTCCTGGCATCCCGGTGTCGTCCAGCCCATGCAATCAACCGACGCCTGTGCTGCTCGCCCTACGAAGGAGGAGGTCGTGAGCTGCACTCAGGAGCTTGAGGCGGCGCGCGAGGCGGCGGCGAAGCTCGAGGTGTGCTGGTGCTGGCGGTGGTACGATAATAGATTGCCGACGCGTGGCGTTGTGTTGGGTGCTCCGCCCAGCACAGCGCGTGAAACACCGCTTTGCAGGTTGTGTCTAGGGTTCAGGGGTTTCCAGCCCCTTGACTGCGTACCCCTCAAGTGGCGCGCATTGGCGCGCGGCGACCCTGCCCAGCCGCGCCCCTCCGTGAACGGTGGCAGCCCAGCAGGATTCGTGCTGGCCCCTGTCCAGCCTTGGCGCTGGCAGGGTCCCGGCGAGCAGCCATCAACCCCCTCCTGGCGCCTCGCTTTTGCCACCAGGGTGAGCTGGCGGCGGCAAACGTGGCCTTGAAGAAGGCCAACGCGCTGATCAAGTCGCTGCGCGGCCAGCAGCATCACGCGACGGAGGCGGCGTCCAAGGAAGCTTCTGAGGCCAAGAAGCTGGCCCGCAAGGTGGGGCGGAGGGGATCCCAGGGGGTGGAGGCAGGGTACGTTGACGCCGGGGCCCCCATGTGCTGGTGCGCGCGTGAAAACCCTTGGGTGCGCCTCGCGCCAACGGGCGGCTGCTTCTCAGTCTGCCACCCATGTGCCCGTTTGCCGCCCTGCGCAGGCGCAGGCTGCGGCGGAGCGCAATGAGCAGGAGGCACAGGCCGTGCGCCGCCACCAGGGGGACACCATGCAGGGCTTTTTCCAGCTGCAGGGCGAGCTGGCGCGGGTGGGTGGCGGGCCCGCATGACTTGCAAAGAGTGGCTAGGCGGGGCCGTTTGCGCAAGGGCCGCCGCGCGGGATGTTGCGCCTCCTGCAGGGACGTTGCGTCCATGTCTGCTGACCCTGCCTCCCCCTCGCTGTCTCCCACGCATGATGCGGCGGCCCTCACAGCTGCAGGCGGAGAGGGAGGTGAGCGTGCGAGGCTGCCAGCAGCAGCGTCACGCATTGCCACCACACCCGCACGCATAGCCAGCCTGTGCGCTCGCTCGCCGTCCGGCGCGCGGGTTTTGGTTGCACCATGTACAGGATTGACGCGGGGCCGTCCCCCATCACCCCTTTTTCCCCCTGCCTCAGGAGCTTCTGGAGGAGGTGGACCGCCTTCGCCAGGCCGAGGCGCAGCGCGCGGAGCAGCGCCAGGCGCGCCAGGCCTCGGACCTGGGGGCGGCCGAGGAGATGCGCGCGCTGCAGGTGGGGGCGGGCGCAGCCCTTGCCGAGGGGGTAGTGGGGACGTCACTCCGTGTCCGCGTGTATGTGCATGTGCTTGCATGTGTGTCCCATGCGCGAGCCCCGTCTGGCCCGGCCTGCTGCATAACTGCTGCCGCCATGCCCTTGCCTGCATCAGTGCATCAACCAGCCCAGCTTCCAAACCTTCATGCTCTGCCGCCGCTCATCAACACCCCCTTCCTGCAGGCACGCAACGCGCAGCTGCAAGGTCAGCTCAACGCCTTGAGGGCGGCGGCCGCCAAGGTGCGCCACCCGACCAGCAACACCCATGCGACGCCGCCCGTGCGCCGCAGCCTGGGCACGGCCGCGTGCCAAGCAGCGCCCTCGCCCCAAAGCGCCCTGCCACTGGCACCCTTGTGCTGCGCCGCGACCAACCCCCAACCCCTCGCCCCCCCTTTGCACCCTTCCCCACTAGGGGGCCGCGCCGCACCCCTCCATCCAGGCCGAAGCAGACGCCCTTACCAAGACCAACACCGAGCTCAGGCAGGAGCTCACCGCAGCGACCGCGAAGATTGCGTCCCTGCAGGCCCGCATCAGGGAGGCGCATGCGGTGGCGGCGCCGGGCTCGCCGGCCAAGGGCCTACCGGTGAGAGCGAGCGCCGCCCTGCACACCCTACCCTTTTTGCATCCACAAACGAGACAGCGGCCCAGCCGCAGCCCCTAGCCGCGCTCTGACTCCCGTTCTAAATACGACAATGCCCTGGAGTTCGCTGGTGGCTCGCTAGACCCCACCCAAGCCGCGCTGCCTGGCGCTGGGCATTCCCCTTGCACCCCGCCCCACAGGCCTCCCAGGCCAACGCGGTCCGCAACGCGCAGGGGCAGATGGCGGCGCTGCGCGAGCAGGTGCGCGTCGGGACGGGTCGGCGGGCCCCTGCCATGCCCCAGGCCGGGCCGCTCGATGTGCCATGGCTGGGGTCGCAGGGCCCAGTGGCACACAGCATTACCGCCCCTGTTGCCCCGCTAGTCTGCCCGCCTGCAGTTCCTCAAATGCGCCCTGCGCTCCTTTGCTGCCTTGCAATATGCGCTCTGTAATCCCTTGCTGTCGCCCCCTCTCCGTCATCCTTGTGCGCTCGCCGACGCCCGCAGGCGGCGGCGCGGGACGCTGAAATCAAGCGGCTGAGGGAGGCGGCGGCCGAGCAGCACCAGCAGCTGGAGACCCAGGCGGCTCTGATCCAGCAGCTGCTGGACGGCGGCGCCCAGACGGCCGCCTGCAAAAAGCTGCGGGAGACTGTGGACCAACTTCGCGGCAACTTGCTCGCTGCCCAGGCAGCCACGGTCAAGGTGGCGCACCTGGACTTTGGGGGGGGGTGATCGCGATGCCAAACCCTTTGGTGCGCACAGCCAATGCAGGGGCCTTGGAAAGTGCAGGCTGTGCCAGGGGACAAGCACAGGCAGCACCTTCCTCGTGTTCACGCGTCCCCGCCGCCACGATGCTTTGCTCGCACAGGTCGCAGCCGAGCGCGATGCCAGGCTGCCGCAGCACGCGGTGCACGAGGTGGTCGCCACCGTCGCCACCCAGGTGCGGACGCAGCGTCCCGCGCAGCGGCCTGCCGCCCCTGGCAGCTGTCTGCATGCGCCGCCAGCGCGCACTCGGGAAATTACCGCATTGTTGATGTTTGCTGTACAGAGATCTGCTACTGCGGGCCAAAGCCATCAGAGCAATTTTGTCCTGCCCCAGGCCGCGCTCACCTCTGTGCACGCCTGATGCGTGTGCCACACGCAGGTGGCCCTGGACTTTGCGCGCGCACTCGAGGGCAGCCTGGTGCCGCGGCAGCTGCAGGCGTTCCGCGCGCTCGCGGCGCGCTGCCGGGCGGTGCTGACCGACGCGGACGAGGTGCACCTGCAGGGCGCCTGGCGGGCGCTGCACGCCGCGCACCGGCAGGCGGGCGCGGAGCAGCAGCAGCAGCAGCAGCAGCAGCCGGAGCAGAAGGCGCCGCGTGCGTCAAGCAGCGACAGCACGCCTGGCGGCGACGCCGACCAGGCGCCCGCGGCGGAGGTGACCAAGCCGGCCGCCCGTGGCCGCGGCCACGGCTCCAGCAGCAGCGCCGCCAGCGCGGCCGAGGTCGTGGACGACGCCATCCAGGCTGCCGTGCAGCTGGCGTTGTCCCAGCTGGACGGCGCGGTGGCGAGGCCCACGCGCCCGCGCGGCAGCGCTGCGGCGGAGGGCGGCGGCGCCTTTGGCAGCCAGAGCCTTCTCTGGGTGCGCTGGGGCCCGGCGGCGGCGCGCTGCCACAATAATGAGGGTGCTCGTAGCTGCTGCAAGCCACCACTTGGTGACACGTAGGCGGCGGCAGCTTGGCTGGGCGGCCAACACCATGACCGTGGTCCAGAGTCCTAGTTGGCCCATGCGCGACAGCTTCTATTTGGGCACAAGAACCCACCAAGCCACGTTTGGTAGAGCCACCATGGGCCCAGCTGCAGCACTCCACTTTGCGGCGTGTTGGCCCAATCACACGCACCCGAGCTACCACTGAGCAGGGCCCTCAAACCTCTGCTGGCTGCTGGCTCCAGGGTGGCGTCCATGTTTGCATTCACAGGCCCCTGTCTCTTGCTCAGGGGCTGCCTTGTGTACGCCGTTCCCCGTCTGCCTCGCACTGTCAGCGGTACCACGCTGGTGCGGTGCCGCGTGACAGGTTGTCAGTCTTGAGAGCGCTTCAAAAGAGCACCCCGCGTGCAGCCCGCGCTCGCTCTCGCAGCACGATCCATGATCCCACCGCTGCACACGGCCGACTGTTCTGACCAAGAATCCATTCTCACAGCACTGCGTTTCCTCGTTTGCACAGGGCCACACTGGTCCTTGTCGCGCCACCCTGTCATTTTTTCCTGCGTTCGCCCACGCTCAGGACCGTCCGACTGCAGCGCTAGCTTCCTGGCAATCGCAATGCTGCATCGTCGATACCAACTCCCTTTGTGCACTTAGTCATTCAGAGCCCCAGCTGTACCCATGCGACTGGTCCATGCGCCCAGTATGTTTTGGGCTTTCAGGCTGTCCAGCATAAATGCACCACAAATAAACGCTTGTCGGCGGCCGCCCTTTCCTGCTCTTTCATGTGCGTGGGCTCACAGATTTTGCCGACACGGTGCATGCTCTTTAGGTAGATAAATAAATTTGCAGAGCCAGCGTTGTGTCGTCCCCAGCATGTCATGCTTCACAGCAATCTCTTGCCTGGTCTGAGCAGCAAGCGGCCTTTGCGTCCTGCAGCAGGAGTGCATGCAGAACAGTGCCCCTTTCGTGATGCACAGCCCATCTGTGGCACAGCGGGCTTCCTTTGCTGCAGGGATCCCCATGCGCCTCTCATCCCTCATGCCCTTCACTCGGCCACTGCATTTCGCACACAGCGCGGTCGCTGGCGTGCCTTCCTTTGAACGAGAAACGCGTGCCTAGGGTTATTCCGGGCGGAACGCATGCCCGCCACAAGAACTGGTAGACAGGCCCCTCTGTCTGAGCATGGTGCGCACAGGCAATTCCCTGCCTAGCTGCACGTCGTTACAGGACACCAGACTTTCTTCACATTTTCCCTTGCAAGTGCTCTCCAATTTCTCGGACTGTGTGACTTAAGGCTCCACGCATCCCCCCCGCCGCTCTCTCCCTCTCTCTCTCTCTCTCTCTCTCTCTCTCTCTCTCTCTCTCTCTCTCTTTGTCCACTTCCTCCCTTTGTCCATCTGTCTGTCTTTTTGCAACCCACCTTGTGTTTCTTTTCTCCTCTCCTCTTGTGTTCTCTTGTCTCTGCTCGTCGTGGAGTGTGCCCGCTGTATGCTGGCTGCAAGTTTTGCTCACATGCACGTGCAGTACACTGACGCCAAGGGAGTAACAAGAAGTTCCAGTCCATGGCAATTCACATGAAAACAAATCAAACAATCAGCAGCTTTAGATGTGGCAACATGTGATTGCTTTTAATCCAATCCTAGGAGCTTCCGGCACATGTGGGGGATTTAGGATACAGCTGCTTTGACTGCTAATGCTGGCAAGATACACACTTGTCTTTCGGGGCCTTGGAGTTGAGCACACATGTGAGTGCTTGCATGCATGCAAGCATATGCATGCGCAAGTGGTTTGATGTGATTAGACTACTGGCGTCAGGTCAGGCATCCACGCACAGGTGGTGGACACTCGCAACCTCTGCAGCTGCCCGATGTCAATCCTGCACAGACAATGCAAACTGTCTTGCGGCATGCACAAAGATCCCAAAACCTTGCTATTGGCCACTCTCCATGCCAATGCAGGTGCAACCAGCCCGCATCAACGGCGACGCATGCGGCCTGACGTCTTTCCAGGAGGCGCCTCTCTCCCGACCATAGCGCTCACCCGTCCCGCCCTTGCCCATTGTACTGTGTGTTATTGCATGCGCCGCTCGCTGGTGTGTGGGGGCGCGACCGCCACCCATTGGTTCAGGACTTCTTTGCTGACAGCGCAGGAGCACAGCCAACTGGTGCATGCGGGAAGCAGATTCAGCTGCTCGCAGCCAGAGTCTGCCCTTGTTTGGATGTGAAAATGTCACCAAGTCTTTTTGGAACTTACAACCCCCAAGAAATCTCACAAGCTCTTAATCCCAGCAAAATGCAACCCTTGCAGCCTACTGACCGGGACGTGCTCAGCATGGCGCAGGGCAGCACATTTATTGAGGCCGACACGCAGATTTCTTCACCCAGGGGTCAACCCAGCAGGAGCACGCGCGTGCTGCCAGGAAGCAACAGCCTGATCAGGCGGCAACGCAGAAGTGTGGTGGGGAAACTGCCTACGCTACCGGGCCAATCAGCCTCACTCCTTGTGCAGGGGTGGGCCAGAAACAACAGTCAGGGGTATGTGCCCTCCAAGGGGTTGATGGCATGAGTCATTGCCTGTCCTAATGCATGCAGAAGTGTTGAAAGGTGTCGAGTCGCCTGTCCAAAATGATAGCCGCGGGATGGTTGAGGTCAGGTGCCCGGGGTCAGACACATTGTTGGGCTCTTGTTGCACGGATGGCGGCTGCTGCAGCTGGGGCTGCGCCAGCGCATCTGATAGTGCTTGAAGGCAGGTGCAGTGGTGTCACCAAGGGGTCACAGGAAGGAGAAGACACTTGGTTCTGCGATTTGTTGCCTGCAGCCTGATCTCTTGCGCGTTTGGTCAGCTTGATGTTTGGAAGGAGGTGGCCTGGCCTGGCCGCGATGACGATGCGCCGTGCAGTGGTACCCACGCCTTGCCCATGCGCTGCCAGCGCCAAGCTGGTGGCTGCTAATCGCCGCTGCAGCCTCTGCAGCCGCGGTAGAGCCACCAGCGTTGGCTGGTCAGCGTCAATGCTCGCGCCCACCCCGGGGGTTGTGGTGGCCAATGGAGTTTGCTGAAGACGATGTGGCGATTTGCTCGCCAGGGGATGCCCACATGGGTGTTCAGTTGTTTCGTCTTCAGCGCGCGACGCCGGCGCCTTGCTGAATGCTGGTGAGCGCTGCTGCAGCCTCTGCGGCGGCGCTCGCACCATCAGTGCCGGCGGTCCGGTGTTGCTTGTCGTAGCCAGGTGGCAGGCTTGTTGGCGCCCTTGGTGTTGCCGGGGCTTGTTGGGTCGCGTTGTGATTTCCTTGGGCATGTTGGATTTCTGGAGGGGTCTCGTTTGTGGTCTGTTGTTGATGTTGCGATCTGCTTGAAGGGTCTGGTTGTCTTGTGAGGGGACGGTCTCGACATCTTGAGAGCCTTGCGGGCGTATGGGCCCTTTGGGGTGTTGACTGCATCACGCGCAGGCGACGGGAACGGCGGCCGCCGGGCTGGGCGCGGCGGCGGCGGCCGCCGCGGCGGCCTCGCGGCCGCGCCGCGCCAGCGCCACCAGGTCGATGGGCAGCGGCGCCGCGCGCGCCTCCACGGCCGCCCAGTCGACGCCGGCGAAGAACGCGTGGCCCTTGAGCTGCGCCACCGTCAGCCGCTGCCGCGGCCGCCGCGCCAGCATGCCGCGGAACAGCAGGTCCCGCAGCTCGGCCGGCAGCGCCGCGGCGGCGGAGCCGGGCGCGGGCGCCCACTTCTTGCCGGCGCGCGCGGCGGCCAGCGCAGCGGTGACCTCGGGCAGTGGCAGCAGCATCGCCGCCAGGGTCACGCCCATGGCCCACACGTCGCCGGGGCGGCTGTCAAACTGGAAGCCCAGCTGCACTGCGATGTCCAAGATGCACGAACGGATCTGAAAGC